GTCTTCTGCGGAAAAGCACCCCTACTCTGTCCTCTCTGTACATCTCGGTGGTGGGGGATGGGGGAGGCATTTGCTGGCCCATCAGGATTCTCGACATCTATCACTTGGACCCCTTTAGACGTTGTCATTTGCCCTGATGAGTTTATGCCCAAATCTTTACCTCGTTAGAGACTGTAATCTGAAACCAAACTGCAATAATTAAGTTGGTATATTTTAGTATAAATTTAGCGAAAGGAAAAAGAATGTAATTAACAAAATGTACCAAAGTGGGTAATTGGTTTTCCACTGGAGTTTTAATCTTTAGCAGTTTATTTTTTTCTTCGTGTGAGTTTCTCTTGAAAGTTGGGTTTGAAAGGAAGTTTTAATGAGGCTTTTATTCCTGACACTGCTGAATTCTAAGGGACCTGGTGCTCTTGGTTTCCTGCCAATTAGGTGCTTCTTGTTGCTTGGGAACATCATGCTCAGGCAGGACTTAAAACAAAACTGGACTTTTAAAAGCATATTGAGCATCATGCTAAGGTTCTTGTGGGTGCTGTCTCATGGAATCTTCACAAGCATCCTTTGTGGCAGGGACCATTGCTGTTCCCAAATGACCGGCGAGGAAACAGGCTCCAGGTGGCTCAGTGACTTGCCATGTGGTCAGGGGTGGATCCGGAGTCCAACTTGGGACATCCCAACTTCAGAGTTGGAGCTTTTAGCCACGGGGATTTCAGAGTCATTTTACCACAAAAAGCCCTATTTCCCTTAACTGTGAATCAAAGAGAATAAAACCAGGGAAGCTTTCTGAGGATTGAGCGAGAAAACTCCTGTAAGGCATGCAGCACGGGGTCAAGCTCCTAATAGGCTCCCTTCCCCCTTTCACATGAGCCCTTGCCTGCAATCTGCCTGTGCCTCCTTCCCCAGACCCCAACCATCAGCTGGAGGATTGCCCCCCGCCGACCCTGAATCCTTCACTGCCCCAATTAGGAAAGACTCTGGAACAGGATGGAGGGCAGGTTTCTCATAGCATAATGGCCAATGGTGCAATTCTACAGTCAGATCAACTAGATTCAGCTTCTGGCTTGCACCTCTTATTTGCTGTGTGACCCTGAGTAAGATATATAACCTTCCTGAGTCTCTGTCTCCTCTTCTGTGAAATGGCGATAATGATAGTGCTTCCTGTTTGAACACATAGGTCTTATTTTTGTTCAGGTGTGTTGATGGCAATAGATGGGGGAAACAACTGTCATTGAAGAGATGGCTTGTTATTCATGGTTTCCAAAGGAGGGGCCACATCATATCAAGCAGGGCCACACAGGGAAGCACCAGGGTCAGTGAGGAGGAAGATGTGGGCAAGAGCCTTTATTATGATTTACTTGGGGAGGAACTGGTGAGGCAGGGTAAGCAGGCTAGAATTGGCAAGTGTGACTAATTTAGCGGGCCCTGGAGTGCAAGATTGTCCCAGTAGGGCAGGGGAATATTGGCCCTGAGTGGAAGCCTGATGGAGGTGGGGGGGGTGGGGGGCTTTGGATTGGGTAGTTTGCATATGAAAGGCATACTCATGGGAGAGTCCCTTACCATCTTTAGGAATAAGCTTGCCCTTCCGAGAGCGGCAGTCCCTCCAGGGTCAGGGAGGCCCCCAGATGTCACATCAGCAAAAGGAAAAGGCATGCTTCCTATACGTCCCCCATAATCATTACAAATGTAGAGGGCTTCGCATAGTGTCTTAACACAAAGTCAAAACTCAGTCAGTGTTATTGATTATTACGACGACAACAGTAATCATCTAGCACCTTAACGTGGCAACTTCCTGACCATCTAACGCAACACCCCAACACCCGGACATCACCGCTCCTTGCCCCGGAGGGATGAGGCTGGCAGGGGGAGAATATGCTGAGAAGTGGGACCCTAGAAATAGCTGGTTTGACACAGTCCTCTGATCAGTAAAGAGGATAGCAGAGTGCTTCGTGTTCTTTAAAGCAAATTTGCATAAATTATCTTAGATTAGAGGAAAGATCATTTCCTAGGATTGTTTCAGATATTTCCTGAGTTGGGAATTTTGTTCCCAGTGAGCTGAGACCTATTCCTATGATACAACTCAGCAACTCCCCAGCACCCAGTGAGTACCCCATGGCATCCGCCAATGTCCTCACTGCCACCCACACCCCCCCCCAGCAATTTTCCCCCACTATTCCATGAGCTAGTTTATATTTAGAAAACAAAACTATAAAAAAATCCTATCCTATCACCCAGAGTTAGCCGTCGTTAACATTTTACTATTTCTTTTTTTCCTGTCTATACATATATAATTTTTTAAGAGTAGGTACTACCTTATATACAGTCTTGTGTCCTGCTTTTTTTACTTAGAATTATATATTAAGCATTTTTTTCATGTGAGCAAAATTTCTTTGAAATGTTTTAATAATATCATATTCCATGTTGTTTTATGGAGTTACCATAATACATGCAACCTATTCCTTTTGTTGAACGTTTGTGTCGTTTCTCCTTGATTTGATATTACATATGATGCTATAGAGAATATCTTTGTAAGGGGATTTTCGTATACCTAAGTATTTCCTTACAGTGGTTTCCTGGAAGTGTAAGTCTAGGGTCAGAAATCCTAGCCATGTTCCATTAAACTTCAAGGTGCTAGGTTTTGACTCGTTTTAATTCAGGCACCAGGGAAGGTATCCTGGGATAAACATGACTTCTAAGACATCAAGGAAGCTTTAGGTGTATCTGCTACCAAAACACAAGCCCTGTGAGGAAGAAACTAGGAAATAGAGGGCTGGGTGTGTGTGTGTGTGTGTGTGTGTGTGTGTGTGTGTG